TAGGTAATTAACGAGCATGGATTTTTACCAAAACCTAATCAAATCTGCGCATTGGCCCAGAGCATCTATGCACCAAGTTTCATCAAAAACCGATGTATGGTTCTTGAGATAGCAGTGGAACAGTCGGACACACATACACACACACACACATACACATACACACATACACACATACACACACACATACACACACACATACAGACACACTAACTGCAAAGACTCCCATTTTGTGCTTCGCACATGGGAGTCAAAAAATTGTATGACTAGCGCCCTCTATCGCCAAAGTTGAGATTGCTGGCAGGTGCGCGAGGAATAAAACATCCACCAATCACAATTGAGAAATCACTTGCGACGAGGAAAATAAATTTTGGCTTCTAGTTTGAAAGATGAGGTCCCTCAACTGTTCAGAAAAAAGAACGTTCAAATAACTTAACAATAAGACGAGTACATACCAGATTTATCAGAGCTACAGAGAATGGTTTCTTTGCCTTCACCATAATTTGGTCCATGTTTCATCCAAGTTGAGATAGTGAAGTGATCAGTCAGGTTGGCAGGTACGATATTATCTGGTACCAAAACAGCACTCATTTCACCATCAAATTCATAGATTTGATCACTTTCATAGCCTTCATCAGATGACAGATCTTCTGTCCATGCATGTCCCAAACCAGGAGTTGGAAGTAGCTCGATGCTGCCTGCAGCAGAGGCTCCTGAAAATTACACAAATACAATGTCACTATGTGTGGGATAATTACAGGTAAACAGCATCTACCACAATGACATGGAAACCATTTCGGCATTACAAAGCAGTCTCTTCAACATATTAGTTATTCTGAAGAAGAGCACTGTACAAACACTGCATTTTCTTTCAGGCTAATGCCGGCAAGGTTACACTATAGTATGAATTTATTACCTGGATTGATGTATGTAATGCATTTTCACTGACTTGAATTTTGATTCCACAATCCACCCACCCAATTCACACCATCAGCATAAATCACAGTACAGAGAGTGCTTCCTGCTAGTTCTTACTCCTGTTCTAAAAATCACTTAGCGCTACACAGCTGGAAAGTTTCAGTATACCAGTTGTTTCTCATGACCTTTTGTGACCCCCTGTTACGACCACCTAGCATAAATGCTCAAAATGATCAGCAACATTACCACTGTTTGGACTAGGAGCACAGAGTTTACAGTTTCCCAGTTTAAGGAATTAACAACTGTGCATTAAACAGCTGTGTAACAATCTGTACGGTGTTTATACTTTCGGTCTAGCAGAGGGAATTAAAATCAACTGTATGAACCCAAAATTTAACACCATGTGGAGACAAATGAACACAAACATTAACTTAGAAACTTAACCTCATCTTTGAGTGAAAAGCCCAGAAGGCCCAGACAATTCTCAACAACAATAGTGTAACAATATCCTCATTCAGACTCTTATTGAAAGGATTGGAAACTGAATTTACAACATTTCATCGGAATTAGATATGTAACCCTTGGGGCTCTAAAAAAAAAAATACATTCAGCAGAAACCACCCACACCTACCAGAATGGTATACAGGTTAAAAGTTTTGATCACCCTGTATAAATTAAAATATTGTGCATCATTAATTCTGATAATTAGTGTCAAAAACTCAAATTACAAACGAGTAACCATCCTCATCAAAAAACTAAAAACAGCTTCTATTTTTCAAATGTTTCAGTGAGGTCAAGAAAAAATTTCTGAAAACCCTACCCAAGTGCATTTTTTGATGAAACTCAAAACTTTCATTTTATGCAAATTAGCAATATTCTGCCCATAAAAATGATTGTTCATTCATTGTAGTGGATGACCAGAACTGACTTTAGAATATCCACTATGATGATTGGCAATCGATGGCCATTCATTCCTAATCTTAACTCTCAAGTTTGATCTAAAATTGCATTCCCACTTCACAAATATGTGGAGTATGACCAATAAATACACCATAAAATGTTGAGATTGGGATGGATAAGAGAAATTAAACACAGAAAATGAATTAGGCGAGCTTCAAAGCTTTCATTAAGTCATATTTGTAAACAATATACAACTATAGAATGTGTGATGCAAAAACTGAGATTAAGTCACCAAGTTCTAGTTTCCATGTCAAAATAAGCATCAAATAAGTATAAGACCATTGTTTAGGCAATGACATGCACTACGTCCATAAAATTGATATGCACTACAGACCATAACTTACTGCAGACACCCGTTATTACAAAGGCTTCTTTTATTGGCAGCTAATATTATACATCACATTGGAACCAAGTATAGATAGACCTTGGCAAAACGGACATGTTCATTGAACCATAACTGCCAATTTAGATTCCCCATCCTTGGCCTTTTTCTTCCTGATCAATAATTTATCACAAATGAAATCAGAAAAGTAGCGCTTGATACCAACTTCTAGCAACTATTCCTGCATCAAATAGTCAAATTAATTCAGTAACCATGGAAACTACAAGAATGATCCTACCACTTTCACAGGGCCGTTACCAGGCATATAACCAATTTGAGGCAATATACAAATTAGATTCAGCTGTCAGGAAAATGAAATAAAATCTACTAAATTGAGGACAATTTAAAATCTTAATACATGTATGAGGTAGAGTGTGGTTAATTCTGTGACACCAGCCCTACAATGTTACTTAAATTAAATACTGAAACCCAGATGATTCAAACTTCTCACACATAAAAAAAAGAGGCAGTGTGGCAACTTAGCATGACACCAATCTTGAAATGCCTTTTAAACACAAGACCCAAGTCAGGCATGTTTTGTATGGCTGTCTTGACCTCCCAGAATTTACTACTATTAAAAAAGCTAATGGAATGTAGACAATAACCAACCACTCGCTAATGTGCCAAGACTGAGCTCTACTTGTCAGAGTCGAGGAAATCTAATTACATCCTTCTCTATTCAAGTACATTTTGTATTGCTGTATTTTTTTTCAAAGCCTAAAAACTTCCTGTTTAAAACAATTGCAGTGGTTGTTTTCTAAAAGCATGCAATTGATGTTGTGTGGTGGTAAACTATGCAGCATGGGTTTGATTTAATCACATCACTACAGTTAAGGTGACTCTACAGATGATATAAATTGAGAACTGAATAGTTCTACATGCAATGAATAGTATTCACCATTAACTGTATACATTGTTACAGTGCGCATAACTAGAGTTATCTGTTTAAATTTTAACCAATATCTCCACCACTGATGAAAAATTCTCTCAAAAGAAAGATTCATTCAGACTTCTATATTGACCTTTTCAGACTCTCACCCAAATTTATGTACTTTATTCTTGTATTCTTCAGTATTTCCAGAAATGATTCCTAATTTTGGAGCCAACATACAACATTTGAGTCAATTTTTCCGTTTTTACTCAAAAAATGTTGCTATTTTTGTCTCAATCTTTTGAAGGAAAGTGCAGCCTATAAACAGGACTATTTTGAGAGTCCGATGAAAAGAGGGAACTGGTGGTGAAAAGGTTAAGTAATACGTGTACATATTACATACATGTAGGTATTTCTATGCTAAAAATACAACATTTTTGATATGGTTTTGGCAATTCACCTCCAGTAGAAATAAACTCAATTACTGTAAAACACATCCTCAGCTAGCATGTTAGTTTGAACTAATTCAGCTTCCTTGTATTTTGGTTATTTCAAGTCTCTGAAGACGTATTTAATTCAACAAAGCGTCTGCTACCACACTTCATGAATATGTGAGACTGACATGCAAATAAAAAAAATACATACAGGTAATGTATTTACCGAGGCAGGCAAATAAGATTTATATACATGAATTCCCCAACATGGCCCCTATTTCTTTGATTTGTCACCAATATCCACATACACAACAGCGTTCAATAACATTAGCAATAACATGAAAATTACAAAATCCAATTCCGCCCACTGCAGTCGATTTTTTAAATGTCTCCATTAAAAAACTAACTAATAAAGAATTGTCTTGATAGAGTGTATTATGGTAAGCATGCACCCCAAGGCTCTGAGCGAAACACGACAAACTTTATTGTATTGAAAATTACACCGTCGCTATTTGTCAAATATGTAATTGAGAAAAAAAAAATAATCTAGGAAGAGTAAATACAAGTATTATCATGCTAACATTAATCAAACTCCAGTCACTATACAATATTGAATTACAATTTTCATCACCGTCATCTTTCAATTTTTTCAATCCAATAAAAAGTATTGGATAAAGTCAATCTGTGCAGTGGTTTTAGTGAAGTAGTCGAGTCTTCTAAATCAATTTTGAAGGCCTTCTGAAAGCCCCCCCACACATAGCCAAAACTGAAGAGAAAAAAACTGCGTCAGAAGGCATTGCCTTAAATGAAGAGACTTCCAACACTAACAGTTTCGAACTGAAATCACAACATGTACATAGAAATCTTAATTGAAGGTTGTCACGATAACCATACCTCACCTCCCACCTGTTTGGATACCTTTTAAGTTGTCGTAATCCATACATAATTTTGATTAGCCAAGGGCAAGAAAAGTATTTTGACCTTGAAATCAGCATTAATAATATACATGTACATTAACTGATGCATGTCTAATATAATAAACATAAATTACCATGGTCTAGACATACTATCTATTATGAAACAAAGGTCATTTCAGCCTAAGAGGCATTTTAATGCAATTAAGTTATCCTTGGGGATGGAGCTACGTCACAAGACGTTCCACGTTGCTAAGACGCGCACCACTGTACCATGCTGTGGAACGCCGGTCGAGCCGGTGAAAATTCGAGAAAACAACACAAACTCAACTTTGAAGAAATCCCAAACAATCAAATTTATATATGTTACACACGTAGGGCTAATCTTGTTGCATTGTTCAGAGGAGTCTCAACAATCACCCCAAAGTACCGTTTTCTGCGAGTTTTGAGCTTTTGTTTTCACCGCCGCAGGTTGCCAGGCGGTGAAAATGCCCGGATGTCCGCCCCAGGGAATACCCATTTAATTTCCTCTAACAATGAATATACCACCATCAGATTGGAGAGGGGGTACAGAAACAATTTTGCAAAGAAAATTATGTAGACAACAACTAATATAAATATTGTAAATGAAAATAATATTGTAGTTTTTCGACCTTGAGTTTTTAATAGTCAATACCTATCCATACAGATTCTGAATGCAGTGAACATGGAGATAATTACTGGAGTGAAAAGATAAAATTAATTTAACATCAAATTGAGACTTGGGTACCAGATTTAATAATCACTGACGGCAATGAAAACTGGCTGACAACGACACAATTTACATTAAATGACAAGCCTGGAAGCTACCAACTTGTTTTATATTACATATTGTAATATTTATTATAACAAATCTCTCGAATTGTTTTTTTAATAAGAAGTGAAGAATAAAGACTCATAATTGGGCCTTCAGCAAATGCATCTACCATCAGTTTTTTATCACCTGTGTTTTTTAATAATAATGTTTGCTTTAGGTCCTCAAGGCTGTATTTTAAGCTACCCAGAAATATAAATTATTGAAATTAATAGATATGTTAAAAATATGTGGAGTAAATTCACTGGTCAAATTACTGCAATTTTCTATCACAAAAATTCATAATTCAAATAAGAAAAACATCAACCATATAGCCTTCAAACTCTAGGAGAGTAGGATTCTGTTTTTCCTGACAACATACTCACAGAAAAATAGTTTGGAGAAGACACCTTAACTGATCACTATAAAATCCAACATGGACGTCATATTAATTTACAATGAATTTATAAAAAAAAATATAATGATTTGCAAAATAGGAATGACCTTAGCCTTATTTGAACAAAATGATGGCAATACTTGATCATCCTGACAGCTACTCAAAATGCTATGTAATTAAAAGGAGGCCAACTAAGGCATTTCAGAGAAATTACTTCAATCGTATCAATCAGTTGTCTGAGCAAAAGAATACAGATGTCATTTTGACTGATAATAATCACTAATCAACTAAGTCGCCAAGAAAAACCTCAACACATTATTCCTTTGATTCATGGGTGTGGGAAACACGGCAGTCTGTTACAAGGCCAATAGGTATGGACGGTAGGCGAGTGTTCATACAGCGTAATAAGCAAGCATTTTTACATCAGATCGTGAACTGCATGACAAATTACGAGTTGATTTACCAAAGGAATCTAAGAGTACTTATTCAGCCTGAACAAGTATTGCGCCAGAGAAAGGATATATTCATAGTTAATCAAGTTATGACACCTCAATGCAGTCTTGCCGCAAACCACAAAGTAACTACTACAGTTAAACAATATCATGTAGACCACCATTCATTTCATAAAGACATACAAATGTCACAGAAACCACAATATTTTGTAGCCTTCTCACGAATTCTCTATTATCAAATCATGAAAATAAAACATTTCAGTTATTCAAGTGATGTGTTTTTAAATATTCTTTCACAACATGAACCCTTATTCTTATTATTCTGCAGTCCAGATCACTCGATACACATCTACGTTTCCTAGGTAACAAATGAATCTTCAGAAGATGTTATCATTCATACACCATCTTTCTGCCAAGCAAAATCTACTTGTTTACTTTCAGCTTAGAAAGCGTACAGAAATAACCTGCGTTCACCGAAGAATTTTGTCTGTACTTGTTCAGTACAATGCACTCATTCATACAGATGTATGGGAAATGATGGAGTTCCGGTTACAAAAGTGGAAGTACCACACCCATACCATTCTTCTCAAATATTTAGGTAGGTTCAGACATGGGGGTGGGTTGTTTCTGACACTGGTATACAGTATACTGTAAAATACTTTATTTTCGCTTGGAATTAATTTTCGTCATTTTCGCTGAAGGAGTGATTCAGTGAAAACAAGTCATTGAAAATGACACAGTCCCTGTTAAGTTCTCTTTGTGCTCGTCATATTAAAGCGGAGGGGTTGTCGTGAGCGTGTCCTTGAAACTTGAGTTCCAAGTGGCATATACAACAGATTGTTTATTTACATCAAAACACTTGTTTCGTGTCATAGTAATATAGCCAAAATAAAAACAGCCGTTATTCAGCCATCTTTGATCTGATTATGAAACACACTGATATGTATGATGTATGTGCCAAATACGAATGAAAATGGTACATGAACTGTGGAAATTTATTAGTAAGGCCAAAAAGTCAGATGGCTGTCAATTGGCCATCCTTGACCAGATTTTGAAACAAATTGTCATGGACATGCATCCTAACATGTGCCAAATTTGAATGAAAACTGACAGAGCACGTTCAAGATACCGCATAAAAAACAAAACAAGATGCCTGCCAGTCGACCATCTTTGATCCAATTGCGAAATAAATCGTCATGG